GTTCGGACACAGCGTTTCCTGGGTCTGTCCCACTGCGTCTGACTCCTACACTCAGAAGTCACGGCTTAAGTGTGCAGGGAAGTCTCAGGTGCACTACTGTGAGCTCCACAGCCTTGTCCTTTAGACCAGCGGTCCACAGCCTTTTTGGCATCCGGGACCAGTTTCGTGGAAGACAATTTTTCCATAGATGGGGGTGGGAATGTGCAGTCAAACCTCGCTGCTACTGTTTACCTATATTTGCAGCTGCTCCACAACATGAGCATCACCGCCTCAGCTCCACCCCAGATCATCAGGCATTAGATTCTCATAAGGAGCTCAACCTAGATCCTTCGTATGTGCAGTTCACAATGGGGTTTGTGCTCCTATGAGAATCTAATGCCACTGCTGATCTGACAGAAGACAGAGTTCCATTCGCCCACCACTCACTTCCTGCTGTGCAACCCAGTTCCTGGTACCTGGTACCAGTCTGAGGCCCAGGGGTTGAGGACCCCTGCTTTAGATGACTCTGAGGTCAATAGGGTTATAGAAACCCCCAAGGGGAGTTTCAGAATTCTCTAGATGAGATTCTCCCTTGTTTGGGGCATGTGGGTTTCAGCAAAGAGGGGTCAGTTGGCAAAATTAGTAAGTTTAAGTGCCCCAAAGTTCAGTCTGCCCCAGCATTTCCCAAACTGACTAGCCTGAAAATACTGAGAACAGTTCCAGAAATGTTACACACACGAGAATTAAGGTCAACAGCCCAAAAAAAAATGTCAACAAAATATTGTTGCAAGAAACTATCAGAATTGAATTAAATACACATAATCTGTATTTTAGGGTTAATCAAGACAGAGATAGGTGCACACACACACTCCTCATACCACACACAGGCTCCTCACGCACCACATACACTACACACACTTGCCACACACACACACCACTTGCACACATATGCCACACATACCACATACATACACACTCCACATACATACCACACACACATGTCCCACACTCACCATATACATACACGTGTGCCACATACACACCACATACATGCATGCCCCATATCACATGCACACACACTTGTCCCACACATACCACATACACAAACAGGCCATACATACACCACACACACACACACACACACACACACACACACACACACAT